AACATTATGAGAAATACAAATTTTTAAAAATCTAATTATATTAACTTGCCGGGATATAGTTTTCTTGGTTATAGTGTAGCAAAGTTATCTCAAGAGAGTAATCGAAACCCAGTTTCACTTCGTATTTATAATATTGTTTGGTTTCGAGGTTTGCTTTTCATTAAAGTAAGAAAATCAGGAATATTTCATTAGATACGCTTATTATTGTTGAGTTTGTAAAAATGTATGTAGTTTATACTAAGGTATTATATTTTCACATAAATTTTAATTTTTGTTTCTATCAGATTTTATTAAACCGCGTTATTGAACCTGTAAAATGATTTTCGTAGACACACGTTATTTATTTATTTTTTTCATACTGCTTGCTTACTGTAAAGCCTTTCAACACCTTTATGATGTTTTGGGAGTATCTAAAACGGCTAGTACGACTGAAATCAGAAGCGCATATAAAAAGATGGCAAAAAAATGGTAGTTGTAGTCACTTAATTTGCTCAGGCATCCAGACAGAAACCCCAATGAAGATACGCACCAGGAATTTATTAAAGCTAGCGAAGCCTATGAGGTTGCATTATTTTGAATTATAGTTTCTAGATTTTGTCAGATCCAAAAAAGCGCCATGAGTACGACACTTTTGGTCATGTTGTCGGTGAAGGCCATGCACCCCCTCCTGGGTTTCATCCTCACAGACAAAAATTCGTTTTTCAGGCTCCCTTTGAAGACCTTTTCCAGGCATTCTTTTATTCGGGTCCTGAAACAGAAGCCTTATCTCAATACCTTATCGTTAGCTTATCATTATTGGTTTAACTGGCTATTTTAAGGAGCTAGACTTCAGAAGCTATCGTCTGAAGCACCTCCCAACTTCAAGAGTTACTCCTATTTTGTTTTTGGGATATTCTGACTTCTGTTTTACTTGTCAACGCATAAAGCCTTTATGGGCAAAGATTGCAGACGAACTTACCCCACTTGGTGTCGCAGTTTCACGGGCGAATCTAGAGAAAGACCAAGCACTTAGAGAAGAACTAAGGTTGCTGCATTCTCCAGGCATCCTAGCCGTTGTTAATAGACATGCAAGTATCATTTGATTACGTAATCCCTACATTTTCCAAGTTTGATCTTAACGTCTATTTTATTTCACCTAGTTTTAAAGGCCCCAAAATTATTCCTTTGAATTTTTCAGCGATTATTTTCTTAACCGACCCTATTATTATTATTTTATCTTGGGGTTCGTAATTTCTATATTATTAAATTAAATCCCAAATCCATCGCATTTATCCATATTTCATATCTTTCGTTTCACATCACTAATTGTCTAGTTTAACCCTGCATATATTATGTATTTGTTTTCCCTGCATGATGCGGCATTCTATTATGTTATACGTAAATATGGTGCTTTTATGAAATGTTATCTCATTTTAACTTTTGCTCCTATACATACAAATTAATGAAATGACAACCTGTCAGAATTGATTTTATTAATTCATTTTTACAGGCATAATATGATAATCATTGTAAGCCACCATATATAGATGGCAATTTATCATCATTTTTAGACATCAGCGCCCGGCATTTTTGGCCTTATTATAAATCCTTTTAGTCTTGTGCTGAGATTGACATCAGGCTGATGAATTAACTTATTCCGTATAATTTTTCGCTATATTTCTAAATACGCCTTCTACCAATCGTATAAATTTATACGATTCTTCACATTATTCTAAATGCTAGTTGCTTGCATAAACTCATGCTATAATGTTGCCTGAAATTATAAATTAATTTTTGACCCTTATACCATTCTGCCGTTAAGCTATCAAGCTGATTGCATAAAGTTAATTCTATAGGGCATTTTTTCATCCTAAATTTTTTTTACTACATACTCTGCATTTAGCTAACTATATTTCTCTATTTTTAGATCACTTATTATTATAGAAGTGAGTTTTCACAGCGCAATGTAGTCGAGTTTCTCCGCACCGTACTTCTTGAATCGAACCCTTCCCAGGCTTCTCTAGCCTTGGGTGCCAGTCTTCTCAGCGCCAACCTGGATACACCTCTCGTAACCAAGCTTGAATCTCTATCCGAAGTTGTTGCATTTCAGTCTGCCTGGCGGATAGACAGTCGTCCTCGAGCCCTATTTATAACATCAGATCAGGAGCCCTCATTACTTTTTGCTCTGGCAGCTTATAGATCCGCTGATTACGTGGCATCTGGTTTTATTAATTCCCAACTTCAGGAAGCCAGGACAGTGATGATGAATTTCAATTTGCTGCGTAGTGAAGTAATCAAACTTATCCTCTGTTATGTGATTACTTTTGAAAAATACTGTCCATTTTATATCTATTAGATATAAGAATATTACATAATTTCCTTCAATACCTAGTCAACCGAAAATCTCTTCGATAATTCAGAAGGGACATAATTAAGCTGAATCTGAATAGCTTTTAATTCAAAGCATTTCAATGAAAATTATTTTTCTTGGGAGGTCTTTCAGTTATGTAGCATGTCATTCATAATTTTTTGTAATAATATCTTTAATATTACTGGACCGTTGAATTCATCTTCTGGTCAGGTATTC